CCAAAACCCCAAAACCCCAAAACCCCAAAACCCCAAAACCCCAAAACCCCTTCCCCATGAACTAATTAGAATTAAGTCAAACTATCTTATTAAAAGTTTAAAGAAACAATGGCTTATCTTGCATTAAGAAATAATATGATGACCCGTAGGATTGTGAGAAACTATTCCCAAACAAATACTCTGTTCAGAGCACAAGTGAGGGCTTTCAGCTCGATGGATACCTTCAAAGTAAGCAATTGAGAATAAAAATATTGTTTAGTACGAAGATTTGGAAATCAAACTTACAACAAATCCAAAAGAAAAACCAGGATCAGACCATCAATATGAATTCGGAAAGCTGACCACAGACCATATGTTAGAGATTGACTGGGATGTACAAACTGGATGGGGAAAACCCCTGATTAGTCCTTACCATAACTTCTCAATGGACCCTTCTAACTCAACTCTTCATTACGCTCTGGAATGTTTTGAAGGACTAAAGGCTTTGCCTTCTTATGACAAAAAGAAGATACATTTATTCAGACCAATTGAGAACTGCAAGAGAATGAATAACTCTTTCAAGGCCTTAGCTTTTCCTGAATACGATAACGAAGAGCTCCTCAAATGCATCAAGAAGCTCGTGGATGTTGATAGAGACTGGATGCCATGGAAAGAAAAGCACTCTTTGTACATTAGACCAACTGGAATCTCCTGGGAGAATACTCTTGGAGTCAAAGCGGCTAGCAAAGTCAAACTCTTCACTATCCTTAGTCCTGTTGGACCTTACTATCCTAAAGGATTTAAGCCTGTCAGTGTCAACTGCTACACAGATTTTGTGAGAGCTTGGCATAAAGGCTCAGGAGACAAGAAGCTTGGATCCAACTATGGACCAACAATCAGACCTGCAAAGACAGTTGCAGTCTCAGGCTACGATCAGATCCTTTGGCTTGTCGGAGATACTGTCAGCGAAGTCGGAGTCATGAATTTCTTCGTGTTCTGGATCAACGAAAATGGAGAGAAGGAATTGATAACATGTCCTCTAGACGGCACTATTCTCCCAGGAGTCACTAGATCCTCAATCCTTGCTCTTACCCAATCTTGGGAAGAATTTAAAGTAACTGAAAGACACTTTAAAATTCAAGAGGTCATTAAGGCTGTTGAAGAGGGTAGAATCATCGAAGCTTTCGGCTGCGGAACAGCTGCCGTTGTTTCCCCAGTCCAAAAAATTGGATATGCCGGCCAAGATTACGACATTCCAATCAACGAGGAGCTCCAAAGCGGAGAACTAGCCAATAGATTATTCACTCAATTAGATGAGATCTATACCGGCAAATCTCAATTCAAAGATTGGGCTGTAGAGGTCTAGTCTTAATCTACCTTTGGTAATTGTGAAATTTCAATAGCATATTCGAAATACGGGGTTTTGGGGTTTTGGGGTTTTGGGGTTTTGGGG